TTTTCAGAAATTCATCCAGCATCTGCTCTGCTGCCAAGTCATGCATTTTTCATAGAAGCTGGGATGGCTTCCTGTCACCCAATTCCAATTCAGTCAGAAGTTTCTCTGTGATTCAGAATCAGCAAAAATTTTAAAAAGTGTCTTAATGGCCAGATAATTGCCATCATCCAGTGGTTTGATGAGGATATCAGAGATTTGTGACAATGTCCCTGCTTCGATCGAACTGACTACATAATCATATTTTGTTGATTAGTCTTAATTGCACCATTGTGCTTTGATCTGAATAAACTATATTTTGGGGTTAGATTTCCAAATAGGAATTTTTAGACTTACCATGACATTGTTAATCTCTCCAATGCTGTTTTGGGATTCTCGTCACGGTTACCAATTTATAGGTTCGTTGATTTAGGACAAATGTATTAATAAAATACTGAATTGAACCAACTTCTTTAACCCCTTCGTGCCGACTGTCACGTCTGTCTACGTGCCAGCAACGAACACACTCACCTCCCGGCCGACACGCAGGCGTGCCAGAGCATTTTCCCGTTCACTACCGACTGTCACGTATTTGTGCCAGTCTCCTAGAACGTAAGAAAAACTATAATTTCTGCCACAAGATGGCACTGTATGTCCATATGGTTTCAGATACATGTACATTAGACCTTTTACTCGAAATGAGAGAAGCATGACTCACATACACGAGTTTTGGATTATATAATCAAACGGGGAAATAAATGTTTCCGAATGGCATGATTTATGACGTCTCTTTAAATCGCACTTTATTCGCACATAGTAGTTGTTTACTGTAAGTAGAGAAGTTTTATTTTTGCTAAAGCGTTGGTATTTCGGTTTGCAGTTCAGTTTTTAGAAAATAATTAGATCTTGTTAGACGTGAATTCTTTCTGTTTTTACTGTTGCAGTGTCGAAGTGTCGAAAATGTTTAACAGAGCATGAAATAGCAGAAATGATGCAAAATATTTCAGATATTGATTCTGAAATTCTGATATTCTGATATTGATTCTGAAAGGTTAACTGAAAGACATTTTCCAAAACTTTGTTCAGAAGAGACTGATAAGAAAATGAGACAACGATGCTTCGTTTGTTCACATTCCTGGAAAAATCCTCCAAAACGGCAAATGAGTTATTACGAGTGCAAGGAATGTAACGTAGGACTATGTATAGATCCCTGTTTTCAAATTTTTCATACGAAAAGAGAATTTTAAGTAATATATTTAGTTTTCAGATGTATAATGTTAAAAGTCATAAAATGGTGAGTAATAAAAATAAAATGTGTAAAATATGCATTTAAACAAGAAATAAAGTAATTAAAGTATATAGTATAAAAATATCTATAAAGCATAAGCCGTTTAAATACTCTATAGAGCATTATTAAACAATGCGTTGATACTTCGGAAATTTCATGGATTTAGGCTTAGTAGCAAAAAAGCTCCCGGCCCTAGACAGACGCTCGCGTAAGACACTGCCGGCCTCCGTGATAAGCGCACGTTTGCGCTACCCGGCGCGAAAGGGTTAAATAAATTTATTAATGAGAGAACAGGAGTAAAATAATGATAACGAGTATCTTTCTTTCTTTCCTTTTTTTTAAAGAAAAAACAAAAAAAATCTAATGTTTATATTTTATATGAAGCTTTTTTTTTTATTGTTGCCACTTGAGCAAAATGGAAATCATAATGGGAAGAGTTTGACAGATGGCATTACATTATTGCTAGCAATGTTGCTGCAGGCTGTGTTAAAGATCTTTTAAATGATCTTTGATTACTTTATATGGATAGCTATGTTTCACGAATTTTCATAATTGAAATTGAGCCATTTTCAAGAGATGCTACCAGGGAATAGTACCGGAAAACTTATTTGCATTTAATAATTTGTAATATTTATAATAGGTATTATTAAATTAGATACAGATGCCCAGCATATACATTTGAGATTTTTTTGGGGGGGGGAGAGTTTTTTCGAACTACAGACATTTACTATTAAAATGATATGCCAGCTTATGATTTCAAAGGAGATGCACTGTAAAAATTATTGGATGTCTGCTGTATATTCCATAGTAGAACTTAAATTATAGTAAAGAATATATTTTTTATATGTGTATTTCTTGTACAAGGGTAGTTCAAGGTTGACCTGGACTTTTATTTCTTCAGAGGAAACAGATAGCACAAGAAGCACCAAACTATGTCAGCTTTTCAAAATATTCTCCGTGTGCACCGAGGCACCTTTACCATCATTGTGGCCGCTACCTGATTCCTTTGGCATAGAAAGAACTTAGTTGTTGTCGTAGCCACTGGAGGACATTGTTCTGCAGTGCTTCATCTGTCGTGAATTTCTTCCCTCCCATATGGTCTTTAAGGGAAGCAAACAAATGATAATCACTGGGGTTAAATCTGGACTGTAGGGGGATGGGGCAGAACTTCCCAGCACATTTCGGCCAGAGTTGTTGTCACATTGACCATGTGAGGGCAGGCATTGTCATGGAGAATGACATTTCCAGACAACATACCTGGTCTTTCTATGCGAATGGACTTTTGTACAGTACCACTTAACAATGTGGAGTAATACTGGGCATTAATTGTGCACCCTTTGTCCAGAAAATCCACATGGATAACACTGTTCATGTCCCAGAAGACACTTGCCATGATCTTTCCAGCGGACGGCTACGTTTTGCTTTTCTTGGGCCGTGGGGAACCTTTATGCCACCATTCTATGCTGCTTCTTTTGGTCTCTGGGGTTGAATTGTGCAACCATATTTCATCACACATGGTGATGGATTGCAACAATTTGTCAGCTTCAGCTCGAAACCAATTTGGAAGCTGTTCACAGACTGTCATGCGTGACCACATCTGATCAAATGTCAGCTGGCAGGGAACAAACCTTGCACAGATTGTACGGAAGTGGAAGTGGTTGTGAATTATCGTCTCATCAAAACCCAACACTGATATTCATGTCAGCAGCAATATCCCGCACTGTTACTCACCGGTTCTCAAGAATCATTTGTGCAACACGTGCAATATTCATTGGTATGACTGCAGTCGAGCACATAAGTCCATGCGCTTCATATGTCAGCAGCTCCCGTCCTTCATGAAACTGTTCACACCATTTATACACTCTCGTCCATGACGTCGTTTGTTCACTATACTGTGCTTGCAATCTTCTGAAAATCACAGCTGGTTTAACTTTCTCCTTCAAAAAAAATTTGATTACAGACCCCTGCTCCACAGCCACAGACGCACTGCTTTCCACCATGTTTGCTGCAACTGCTGTGCTTACGCCAAATACGTCATGCTGAGCACTAGTTACTCAAGAAGGAATGAATACATTACATCACCCACAAGTTTCATCATGATTCGCCTGTTCATCGGTTATTTATGTATGAAATTCCCGGTCAACCTTGAACGACCCTTTTATGTTGTTTTTATGTTTATTATACCAGGTCCACCAGTGAATTGAACAATTTTTAAATGTTAACACAGAGTGAAAAGCATTGATCATGATACATTTATATTTGTTAGGAAATATATACATTAATATTTGCATAAACAAAACGTAGTGTATCATTCTGCCAAAAATATATCATAAATACTTATTTACGAAATGCCTTCCATTATGCCATACATATTTAGCCAAAGAGAAAATGCTATGTAGTTTACTGACTGATACGGTCCTATGAAACATAGCCCTGTGTAACACACTGACCAAAATTCTTAAGATCTGTTTTTACATTTGCAACTTTAGTTCTTGAATTGTATAAAGAATTGATATAGAGTTGACCTCATTTTTAAGATAGCTCCATTGTTAATCATATACGGATTAACCTAGGTGATCTTGCTGGCCATTGGATGTTGCCATCTCTGGAAACGATATGTCCTGAAATATATGGTTGCAAAATATCCATTGTAATTTTAATAGTAAAGTTTATAGTTTTGTATTTTTGAAAGTGAAAATAAGTGTTTTTGTTTGCTTGAAGAGCTTGTAAATGAAGGAATTATGTGATGTATGCTTAACAAAGGTCAGAATATTTTTTCATTTCCATATTCATCCTCAAAGAAGTAAGGACTCATAATGGTAAAAGCAGGCTGTACATTACACCATTAGGTTAAAACTTGCAGTGATCCATCACTGGCTGAATGAGAAAAACTTGGGTTTATATCCTGGAGGATGGGCAAGCTATGTCGATGATTTTCTTTATGTCTGATATGAATAAGAACCAGTTTCTATTGGAAAATCCTCCATGAAAGCATCCCTCTTTTAAAGCAGATAAGCACTGTGTATTTGCTGTAATCAAATAAAATTTGTTTCCTCAAATATTGATTTCATCCTATCAGCAATTTTGTTTATTTTACTTAGCCAGTCAGGTGAAAATATACTTTAACCACGACCAGATTCATTCATGAACAGATTTTTGGGAATTTTTTTCCTTCCTCTATAGTCCAATATTTATTGACTAAAAACCAAAGTTTTAACAACATCCTCCTCCTGTTGTTCCGTAGATATTTGAATCTTATATAAATGAAAATGTAAATCTGCATGCAAGACACAAAAGCTGACCAGTGAAGAATTTGTTCAAATGAGCTCTTGCGGAATCCAAAGTTCTGTGAGGTATAAACAGCTTTAACACTACTGCTGCCTTTCTTCTTAACTGTTAGTCGATCATTTTGTATTTGTTTACTCACTTTTTTATAACACGGGCTGATGAAACTTCCTGCCTTTTTTAAAATAAAATTCATGTTTGGAGGCAATGTAATTATTGTTTTTATAAAATGCCTTTATAGCAAAAATAGGTTGGACATCTGTCCTCAATTCCATTTAAAACTGAATGCTGTTCAAACTGATGCCATCTAATTGTGACATTAATTTTTCTCACTTGTGAAACAAACAATTTTGCCAAATTATTCAGTCCATTGGTGGGCTTTGTGTAAAAATTTAATCATGGAATTAGATTCTATATTATTATTTTTATGGCTTTTTTTAAATTTTTATAGGTTTTTGTGAAGATGGTTGAATTTGAAGGCATGAAACTCTTTGTAAAATGTGCATTAATTATAAAACCTGGGCTAGGTGTGGCTGCTGGGACCAAAGTGTAAGGAAATGAAACTTTTAGTTCCTATATGGCATAAGAAATAACACAGAATATTCAAATAAAACTATACCTTGATTATCCACACTTCCATTAAAAAGCTGTGAAAGACTGTTGATGAGGCAACATACCCATGTCGCCAAAAAATATTTATGTGGCATCCTAGGTGTGAGCATAACATCCCCCTATGCCAGATGACTTTTCAGCTCAGATATGGATCTCTCTTGCGGGAATTTCAGGGTTTTCACACGGCGGTGGATCACATACTGCAGTGTTTTTGTCATCTTCAGTGAAATCTCAGCTTTCGGCATGCATAGATTGTGATGTGACTTGCTTAAAAATATCAGATACAGATGGAGGACAAAATAATACGAATATCTGTGAAATAATGGAAAATCTTTATTGATAGGGGGTTGGACCACCCTTTGACTGAAGTACAGATTGAATGCAACGTGGGATAGATGCCTAAAGGTCATGGACAATATTTAAAGGATTTTTAAACCATTCCTCCTGCGAAGCAATCTCTTAATTCTGAAAGTTCGGATGGAGGTGGAAATCTGGAACGAAGTTTGACTCCAAATATGCCCATAAATGTTCAATAATATTCAAGTCCGGAGATTAAGGTGGACAAGCGAGATGTTCAATTGCATCATCATGTTCTTAGAACCATTCTTGAATACGCCTAGCAGTGTGGATAGGGGCGTTGTCGTCTTGGAAAAGTGTTCGCTCCCCAGAGAATACAGTCTGGACAAAAGGATCAACATGATCCGCTAGAATGCTTAACCTTTTTCCGTGGGCTCGAAAAACAGTTGTGTACCTTCACTGGGGGCTCTTGGCTCAGCGGTTATGGAAAGGGGGAAAAATTATCAAATCGAGTCCTTAATGAGTGGGTGATTAGTGCTCTTTTGTCGCCAGGCAGGCAAACGCTCAGGATTTCCTTTCAATCTAGTTCCAATCCTCAAGGCGTTAGAATGCGGGATGTACTCTAATCGCTTTCACACTGCAGGTAGATGAATATATTTTTCCCAAGGAAAAAAAAAGTATTATTTTACCTTCAAATGAAATGTATGCTATAACTAGAAATTTTGTTTCTAAAAAGTGTTTCATTTTACAATTAAAAAGTTTTTAAACTGCACCTATATTATGTACTAAAAACTAGCAAGTAATCAGTGTTTAAATATATCACTTGTCATCGTGTTGAAAAATTCAGTAATTTAATATATTCAAACATTTCCTTCAACATATATGCATTTTCATTTATAGTATTATTATTCTGATGTTGAAGAGCAAATTAAATAAGATTTATATTTATACAAGTGCCATTTAAAAAGCATTTTTGGATTCCAAAATGAGTGTTAATACTTTTACACGTATGGTAATATTCTTTCCTGTGACAAATGAAATAACTTCTATGAAATGAAATAACTACAGTGCTAATGATTTTATTTCCTGGAGAAATAGAATTTAGTCACTGTGTTTGTACTGCACTAAATTATTATTGAACAACGTCCAGCACTACGAAAAATTTACAATGCACGAGCCAAGAATTTTTTTATTTATTTTTTTTTTTTTTTTCCATGTGGCATTGAAAATAGCGGTCCCAGAGTTGATTTGCCTTTACATCAGAGATATAAGATGTTTAATTTATTTAATCGCTTCATAGTTTTTGGTTCAGAAAAAATGCAGATGCAGACCCTGGAGCTTTAGAAAATAAAATCTTTGTTGAGTTTAATGTATTCAAAAATTTAGTTTTATCATCACTTAGAGATATAAGATACTACTTTTACCTTAGAATAGAAAGGGAACAATTGTTCGATGATTTATATTGCTACTCCATTTTTTCTTTGAATGCAAGATTGCATATACAGGAACACATTGAAATTTCAAAATGTAAACATCTTTGTCGAATGGCGAAATATTTCTTCAGTTTTTTATGGTCTACATTTTCAGAATGCTAAAATCGCCTTTGAGGTATCAAACTGTTATGCGAAATTTTCAGATCTCAAGTTATTTACTGTTGCTTTCTATGGAAGTAATGAAGCTGGGAATGAAGATTCGTACTGAGTTAATGAATATTAATGAAGATTCGCACTGAGGATTAAATTCAGGGAACTAAAAAGTAGTACACATCTGAATTCCTGTATACATGCTTAATATTCCAATATCTTGTTGATTCCCTCCAAAACACAATTCTCACATAAAATTAATTACTTTCTGAACACTACAAGTTACTGAGAGGTTAAGGCCGTTGAATGCTGGTAGTTAGACATAGGTTCGACGTCAGGCAATCGAGCTGGCCGCATGATTGGTTTTCGTTGTTTCCCCCATGTGAAACGTGAATATGAGCCAATTTCTCCTAAAAGTTCTCCACAAAGGCATGCTTTCCTTTAGGTAGGCAGCCTTCGTGTGCTTTCCCATATTTAATTAACCTAAACAAACGTATCTAATTTCTGAACAAATTGATACAGATATGACATTATAGACACAAATCATATAACAAAAGGTAATAAGTTTTGAAACTTTTTTTAATTTTGAATTGGAAAATGTTCCATAATAACTGCTTTAATAAAATTTCGTATTTCATTTGTCGCACAATTAAAATTCATTTTGCCTTTAATGTGATTCATAAAAGGAAGGGTTTCTAAACATAGTTATGAAACGCTCATAAGTTTAGCTTTCTTATTTTGAATATAATTTTATTTATATTTGTCAAATTAAATAAAATGTTATCTACCTAAGCAAAATTGCTTTCGTGGAAGGCGTTCAAAGGAAATTGGCTGATATACCCTTTACATATGTGAGAGAACAAGAAACGTTCATGCAGTCAATCTGTTCATCGGAATTTCAATCGAAGTCAAATTATCAGAGTTAAAGAAAAATTATTCGCTTGGCCGCTAGTTATCATTTAGAACATGACAAACCAAAATTTCACTCAAGTAAGCAGTAGTCGTGAAATGTATGTCCATTTAGAAATAACATTAAAATTAAATTTTCATCACCTGAAACATTTATATTTATTACACAGCCTTAAAATGCACATTAAAAATTAGAATAAAGTGATAAAAACACTTATGAAAAAGAATGAAACGAAAAGAAAATTCAAATTCGAATTGAAACCAAATTAAAAAGAATTTAATCAAAAATAACTGAATAAAATTATGCATTTTTAAAAACATTCAAGGTTTTAAAATAATTTCCGAAGAATTTTAGCAGCCGAGCTTCCGAAAATAAAATTTCTTTGATATTTGACCTCCAAGCCATATTTGTACAGGAAAAAACCTGAAAATGCAAACACATGAGAATCGAAGTAACAAACTTTTCTTTTCATTTTCTCTTCTGAACAAAATATTTCCTGGAAGATACCGAATTTGCAAACAAGCCATGTGTGTTTAAAACATGGACAATTTTCCCCAATCCACTAGCAGAATCCCACAAAAGAACGCACTCTCCCAGGTGTCATAAGATAGTCATCAAGCCTCAAGTGCTAGAATTCCTACCCCTGCCACCAACGGCAAACTGTCCCGAGCCCCCCCCCCGGTTGCTGTATCTTTAGTATGGGACACATATGTCCCAGCCCCCGGGAAAAGGTTAAATAGTGATTGAATGTGATCCTCCCATGCAGAACAAGCGGCCCAAGACTGCGCCAAGATATCACACCCCATACCATAATGGTGCCTCTCCCTTGCTTCACAGTCGGCAAGAGGCAATCAGGATGAAATGCTTCTTTGGGCGTTTTCCAGACATAAATGCATCCGGTCGTTTGAAACAGGTTGAATGACGATTCATCTGACCATATTACCTGTTGCCACTGCTGTAGGGATAAGTTTTTATGATCTCTGCACCATTGGGCATTGCTTGAAAGCATTAGTTGCTTTCACCAAGGGTTTACAAATTGCCACTCTGCCATAAATGTTTGCAGCATGAAGTTCCCTTTTGACAGTTTTTTGTTGAAATGGGGTTCTGGAGATGACTGTTCATTTTGGATGTTATCTTGGATAACAATTGCTTGTGCTTTTGGGCTACTATGCACTTCAAGACCCATCTATCCCTATCAGCCAGCTTTGACTTTCGGCCACTGTTGTGCTTTGAAGACATCGTCTTTCACTCTTTCGTGTATGCTGTCATAACGGCTAATGCCGTACTCCTTGCACACCCCACAATGTTTGCTGTTTCCATAACCGATGCTCCACTTAAACGTGCTCCAACTATCATTCCTCTTTAGAACTCTGACAGGTCTGACATTTCAACTTCTCACGGGCAGTTTGATCGAAGCATGCAACACAGGTGACTGCTGTTGAGAGACTGATACCTTCCTCTTCACGCTTACTAGGTGGCAGACTTCTGTTGCAGGTGGCGCGGCTGTACTGCAGGTATGAAATACGTCATACTTTTTCACAGGTGTTCACATTATTTTGTCCTCCATCTGTACTTCCTTTTTCCTTCCCATTTTAACATTCTGGTGCTGAGGCTGTGTGCAATGCCAAATTTGTTCAATTGCCTTTTTTTATTTTATTTATTATTTTTTTTTTAAATAAAAATTCTATCTGTGCTTCTTTTTTCCTTCCCATTTTACCATTTGGGTGCTGAGGCTGTGTGCAATGCCAAATTTGTGCAATAGCCTTAAAAAAAATTTTTTTAACAAAAAGTGATTGCTGTGTCTTTAGCACAAAAAACCTCATTTCATATGTGGGGGAAGGTGGGGAAATATGTGGTACTGGATGCATTGTTGAAATAGACATTAAGATATTCAAACAAACACTTCTCTCCAAAATCAGTAGTGAGTTTGCCAGTAATCTCCAGAGTCACCAACAAGTTGGCAACTTTTTGGTGGGGGTGTGAATAATCAGAAAGTACGAATAAAATTTATTTGCTAATGGGGGGTCATTAATATTTCAAAGCCTTTTTTATGATATATTTTAAAAATGAAGTTTTGTTTATTAAAAATACATTTATTTCCTGAATATGATTTTGTTTTTACCTTTTCAGAAGAATCTGATAGTTTGCATCAATTGCAAACATACTGTTCACATGGGTTGTACACATCAGCCTTGTACAAAAATAAATAAATGTGAGTACCAATATATTTCTAAATTTTGCTTTTCTTACAACTATATTATTTTGCATTTTTTGCTTTTAAAATTTATAACTCATTTAATGTTTGCATCGTCATTGTATTATATGAAAGACAGCAAAAGACACCCATATATGCAACATCATAAAAGGAGAATATATGCATATATAAACATAGTAAAATTAGGAATTTTTTCTATTGTTTTATAACAAAATGAATATTTGGCAAAATACATTCTATTCATTGAAATCCAGTTGTAATATATTATTTATAATACTGTGTCATTTTAGCACATGAGAATAATATTCATATGTGGTCACTTGTACAGTGTACACTTTTGCCTCTTTGGGATAAAACAATGCCTCTAGTTCAGCATAAATTATTGGCTACGTGTGTAAAATATACTACAAATGGTACTTGCATATTATGATTACCACCTTATATAGAGGCTGCCAAATTTTCAAAATGTGTCCAATTCTGGCAACTATACACATCATTCGGTAAAGCAGTATCACCACTATCATAGCTTTCTTGTTGTATTCCAAGCTTCTGTTATTTTTATAGACAAATCAAGACCCCCCCCCTTTAAACTTGATTTTAAAATATGCAGTTCTGGAATTTGCTAGCAATAGTAGAAACTGAGGTAAAATTTTTCAGGAATAGCAAATTTTGCACCAAAATATCTAAAGGGAACAATGAAGAGATGTGTTTGATAGATAGGCGGTATTCCTGATGTTTGTGTCTACATTTTTTTTTTTTTTTTTTTTTTTTTTTTTTTTTTTTTTAAAGTAAAAAACATATTCCTGTATACTCTTTTCAGAAGAATAGGGAAAAAAAAAAAAAAAAAAAAAAAAAGATTTAATAAAAAATGTAACTGTTTTATTTTTAATGTATCATGCATTCTCTATTTAATAACGTGCATTTTAAATTGCTGATATATGTTTTCATAAGATGCGATGATTTCCATATGATGTGACTTATGATAAATATTGGTAGTTTGGGAATCTTTCTAACAAATTTTGTGAAAAACCATCAACTTGCACCTGGTAAATAACTTACTTTTCATCTGAAAAAATTGCTAAAAGTGAGCCATATGAAAATATAGGAATATATAAATATCCATAGTTACAGCAATATTATGCTGTAACTATGCTGCTGTGTCAGTTGCTACAGTAATGCAAAGCTTTAGCTGTGAGATTACAAATCTTTTCACTTTTTAAGATCATTTGTGGCTTTTCTCCTGCATGGAGGTGTAATACCATTTTGTGTGATGCACCCTGGGCATTACTTTTTTAAATGAGAAGGCTAAATTATTGATTGGCCATCTTTTTAACAGGTGCTTAATCAGATAGTGTCTAGCCATAGGATTAAAAAATAATAATAATATTCTTGAGGTTCAAGCCATCTGCAAATTTTCCCTGGATTTTAATTTTTACAACTTGAGAGAAAGCAATGATTATAAATGAAATTTTCTGAAATGGAGAAATATGTGTGGTAACCAAGGCTCACGTATTTTTAGCTGACCATAAATGGCTCATTTTCGTTTGGCATTTGTAATAACTGTGATATTTTATATGTACTGACTGAATGACTGCAGAACATGAAAAATAGTGATAAGAAATAATATAAACTAGTTGCCACATTCTTTCAAGTGAAGCTGCAAATATGATGTGAGTTGTAAACATTGAGAAGTTTCCCAAATGTGCTGCAGTTCAAGAAAATAGTAAATGTAGTAATCATAGTAATTTTGTTGCTGCTTGTTAATAGTTCTAGGGCTTTCTCAGATTTGCTGTCTGCAGATCTGCAAGTTTATGTTATACCATTGTTAGGTGAACAAATAAGCTGCCCTCATGCTCTTGATTCAGAACAAAAAGGTGAAAAATCTTCTGCAATAGCTTTCTGAGAGTAAAACTATTATAATTTTTCATGATTAGTTTTCATCAGTGGCCAGTATGTGTTTATCACTTTATTTTAGAATGTATTTCATGAAAATCTTCCTCTTCTCAAGAAGATATTGCTTGCATGTTTTGCAATAAATTAAGCAAATAAAAAGCGTTAATAATAAATTAAGCAAATAAAAAGCGTTATCATTTACTGCAATCAAGTATACAACACAAACACAAAGAATTGAGATTTCATGTAGGTTGTCTGGGTGATGCAGGTTAATCAAAAAGCAAGGAGGGTGCAAATCAAGCTCAGTGGAAAATTCTTTAAAAAATAAATAAATAAATCTATAAGGATGGTGCTGTGCACTGTGTCTGCAGACTCTTCTGATAGTGTATTAATTGCAGGCAGCTCCTTATAACATGACTTCTTATCACATGGTTTCATCTAATATGGCTTCAGAATTAGGTAAGGTTTACTATCTCAGAATTCTTACTGTATTGTTTTACTGTATTTTGGTTTAATGTAGGAAATTTCTATTTTTGGTCCTATTTTTCATTACCTGTGGTAGAACTGCCAAACTGCAGCATCATAGCATGTTAAAATATTAATGAAGGTAAATTAGTATCAAGATAAAAAGGCCAATAAAAAGAAGAAATAATTAATTGTTAATTAATAATTTATAGCCAAATAGTTAAATTTTATATAGAAATTAAGAGAGTTGATTAGTACATTAACAGGAGTTGTATTTTCTAATTGAAGATCGTTCTGCTCAAAAGAACAAAGAATTTAAGCGAGATTTTACAAATGCTTAGTTCTTATATAATAATATTTATGAAGGTCTCTAAAAGCACATAATAAAAATGGGGGGGGGGAAATTCTAGCTAAAAGTAGAGCATAGAAATCAAGATTCTTCTGGAGAAAGTTGTCATGAGTAGTAATATAGAGAAGTTTTAGTGACAAGAAACTTCTAACACTGAATTTAAATTCATATATTTGCACTTATTAATCATGGATCTTTGGTGGATCGATATATTTCCTCTCCCTGAATCATTTTAACTTAACAGCAAGTGTTTACTTTTTTCTATTGAAACTGTTTCTTTACTTTAAATTTTGAAAACTTGCATGGTCTGAAATTCTAGTCATTAACTGGTGGTATATAACAATCACACAAAACAAATTTATGCATCTAATTCAACAGATGATCTTGCTGCTGTATAATACTGAAGTGGGATACAGCTCTCTTTTGTCTACTAGAGTATCTTCTAAATCAGTTAGAGAAAACAATTTTTAAATGTAAAATGCGATGTGACGACAAAAGATGAATTAGTACATGTTAAAAAATAATCATGCATCTGTTATGCACTAGTACTACATCAGCTAACCTCAGCTTGCCATTAAAATAATTATTCAAAATGATCGGATGAACATCCAGACTTGTCTGCTCTTGTTTCTTTTGCTTCGAAGACTCAAAAGTTGTTTATGTGAAATATTCTTGATGAAATAATGAATAGTAGTTTGAAGTTCTGGAGGCTGTAAGAGTTTCGTCAATAAAAAATACTTTTTGTGTAATTCCTGGAGTGAAAATTTAGTTGGTTAACACAGAACAACATGCCCACAAATCTCTAGAAATAATTCTGTCTTAAAAAACTTCTTGCTGTTATTTCTGTCAGCTGTATGCATAGCCATGTCATCTTATTTAATCCAAGCATGATAAATTTAACATAAGCTTTCCCGTGTATTTGTAAATTATTTCATAATGATGATCTGAATTTCTTGTCATTGTGAAGAGTAATGGGCTGATTATTCTTTTCTCTGGCATTGCATTCCAAACTTCAGTCTTCTATTTATGAAAAGAAATTCCATGTATGGTATATGGGTTGATGGCAAACCAACATCTAAACCTGAGTTCTTTTGCATTGATATACTCTTGATAAATATAACCATGCCTTATTTGTATTGAAAACATTGTCTGAAATATTGTCAGAATTGTCTGCTAGAAACTTTTAAAAGAACCTCCAGAAACTAATAGGTATATAGTTACTTTTTGAATGTCCAGAGCTGAAAATTAATGAATGAAGTAAAACATGATCAAATACAGAAAATAGATAGAGGCAGTTTTTAGGCAGTGTTTCTTATCATCATATTGCTGGCAAAAAGGACGTCCTTAAAGGGGTTATCAAAAGAAGAAATTCTAAGTTAATATGAATTAATGGCCAAATGTAATGCGATCTTGAATGATTTCTACTTTATTAGTTTTGTTTAAATGGCATATAGTAAATAATTATTTTTTATTAAATTTTATGCTGTTCATGGTTTTCATTTATTATTCTGGGAGTAGTGTTACTAAAAAAGAATTTTTTTTTTATTTTTTTTTTATTTTTTATTTTTTTTAAGATACTTGGTTGTGCTGTACATGCTCAGAAAAACAAACTATGAGATTTAAAAACAATCGAGCAACTACAACTCCTCAGGAGGATGTTAATCATGGAAAGGAAGAAAGCACCAGCACTTCAAAAAGCGGCTCTGCTTTCTGTTCTACCAAAACGTAGGCTTATCTTTCACTAACCGAAGTTCTATTTGAGTACTAATGAATTCATTCTTTTTTGTGAATATAAACCTGATAGTTGAAGTTTTTATTGTCATTTAGTTATTTAATGTTACTTTTAAATTCTGTCATATCATTAAAGCAGTATATGAATGAGTCTTTAGCATTATTAATGAAAAATCCATAATATTTCTGAAATATAAAATGTAATAACAAAATGCATTGTAGATGTCAAAGGTTTGCCTTGCTTTTTATGCTTTTTTGTTTCAAAATGTTCTGCTTTGTACTGCATTGTAAATTTAATTACATTTTATTTAAAAATTCTTTGCACATTGCTAGATTATTTTTAAAAAATAAATCCACACAAAAACCATCATTGAAATCTTCATAGCATTATAATTTGCCTTTTTCCCTGGCTTTTCTTTTCAAAAATTTGTCTTAGTACAACAAGTGACAAACCAATTTGGTGCTTCTCAACTTGCTGTAAATTGAATGTAGCTCTCATGCAGTCTTTTGAAAGGTTTTGTTTTTTGAAATACATGTCATATGTGACAGTAGTTTGGGGAATTATTGAGCTTATTGTTGGAGCCAGCAAAATAAAGCATCCAATATGTTAGATGAATTATTATATATGACTTTTTGCCATTTATCTGGCTGTTGGTTTATCCCACACTGATAAAAATCTTCTGTTTTTCCAGTTAAAAAAGTCGATGCTGTTTTTATATACCCTTCTTCATCAAAGATTTGAAAAGTGAAGCTGTTCTGTAGTATCTGAGTTAGAGAGTAATCTGTAAGAGCAAGATCAGGTAAATACTCTGAGTGGAGTAATTTATTCTGAGGGATTAAAAGAGAATGAGATCTGGCATTATAATGATGAAAAATAATGCCTTTCTGATTGACAAACACTGACTGATTAAAGTATTACACCTTGGTAAATTAATCATTTTACTTTAAAATGCTTTATAAAACCTTTGTGAGATGTAGTCATTCTTTTGATTTTGGTGACACAGCTTTGCGTCTCATCACACAGTCTTTTGAAGTATCAATTTCTCACTTCCCCCCCCAAAATAGTTCACTTTTACTGCGAGAAAACAACTGTCTCATTACTTCATAGAAAATTGGTGTCTAATCCACTGACTGAATTTCGTGCTGAATCCAGCTGCCTTGATCAGTTTTCTGACTGTTGTTCTGTGTACTGACTGCATTTCTGCTAACTTGTAAATGGATGTGGTCTTTTATTTATTGCTTGATCTAGAATTTCACCAGAAAGTACTAATGGATATATAGAATTGACTGACCTCTACATCATATATTTCCATAATAGAATTTCTGAAGCCAGCCATGTTATGTCTTGTCTTGAACTGCATTTGTGCCGCAAATTTGATGTATGCAGTAGCTAGCCTCAACTGCAGTTCATAGCATCGAACTCTCTGGGATAAGTCCTGTCATGAACTGCATTTTCTCCATACATTTTGCATATGCTATGGCAAGTCGCAACTGCCATTTATAGCATTCATTGAACTCGTGCAATAAACAGTGTATGATGGGTTGCTTATAACTTTCCATCATAAAACAATAAGTGCATTAGATATTCTAACAAATTCAATGCAACTGTATGCTCTGTTGCCCCTCTCTTCATTAGTAAAAGATTCCAGTCATTCAGTATCATCTGTGATTAAATCATTCAGCCAAAATATGGGTCATCAGAACAAGCAAAACTTTTTGTTTGTATGTAAATAATTATAAACTGTATTTCGTATTGTAGCTTGACAAATCATGGCGTTTTGATTCTGATAAAGCTTGTGTTTTTAGAGAGAAATCACTAAAAATTATCTTCATCACAGATTGCAGTTATTTATCTGTCAAACAGATTCATTTCTTATTAATATTCAGTGGTGAGAAAAAACTGTTCATATATAAATGTATTCCCAAATGAAATGATTATTCATAGTGCAAATATTCCAAACTGACCATATTTATTTTTTGACATGCACAAATACAGTCAAAAGTCTTTAATCCAGACGTCCATAATCCGGAATGATCTATAATCCTTACCTCAAAGCTACAAACTTTCTGCGCATGTGCATATGCGTTTATGCTTGCGCATAATACATTTACGCATGTACGTTTAATGTATAATGGACGGTATAAGCTAAGCTAAAATTATCTAATTATCTATTTCAGTTAATGTTGCAGATTGCGCTGTGCCTTAATCTTCTAATTGGATCCGGCTTATTATTTTTTGCAGACTGTTAGAGTAATTTTATAAAAGTAAGGTTGAACTTTTGATTATGTCAAAAAGAATTTCCGATTCTGGAGCTGCCAAAGGATCTACAAAACAAAAGCATGTTTCGATGTCCATCAAACAAAAACTGGAATTGCTGCAAAAAAATGGATAAAGGCGCATATCCTTTGTTTCTCTAACCATTCCAAAATCTGCTTATCAATTTCACGCTGCTCTGGGGGGGGGACGTCGCGGCGCGTAATGAACTGGAAGTTGATTTGTCAGCACCATCCTCATCTTCAGGGCAGATGATTTTATTTTATTAGACTTATAATTCTTTACTAAATGTAGTATTTCATCTCGATGTACTCCGTATTTGATATGATTTAAATCAAATTTCTCGTTATTATAAATATCACGAATACACATCAATAGTTTTCTGGTTGCAATTTCTAATTTCGACTATGCGTAATGTAGCTTTACGATGCACACATTGAAAGAAATGTTTAATAAGTAACAATAAATATTCAAGCTTTTTTTTTGTAATTTTCATACTTTTTTAGATCATAATTGCTGTCTATTTCATAAATTACTGTTTCATATTTTTAATTTTATAATTTCTGCATGCCATCTTACCAGATTTAAACTGATGATCTATAATCCGGAATCGCCAAAGTCCCAACAAGTCCGGATTAAAGACTTTTGACTGTATGTATATATACACACATATACCCACTCTGTTACTCGGCTCCGTGAGCATGGTTTTTGTATTCGTATATTTCGGAAAATTTTGCATTTTTTGCTTTAAAAAAATCATTGAATTATGTTGTCTTATTTTCCGGTTAAGGTTTTTATCCCTTTCGTTAACCCGCATGCAATATTTGTAGATATCAACAATTTAAAAGTTCTTTAAGTACGGCTAAGCCTAATTTTTTTACATCATTTTAGATTTATTATAGTATTTGAATCGAACATGTGGCAGCAATTAAATAATTCTTCAGATTTTTTCACATTTGGATTATAAAATGAATGAGATGTAATGCTGTTAAGAGAACCTAGTGCTGAAGTGTTGCTATTGTAAATATAGTGAATTTTAAAAGTGCACTTATTCTGTTGTGGTTTATGTGCTGTTGACGAAGTAGATTTAATTCAATTCAAGAAGTTTAAATGAAATGCAGGAAAAATGTGTATAATTTAATATTCTGTGCAAGGAAGTCATGTGGTGTGCACATCAGATTTTTTTGTGCAGTGTGCATGTAAACTACCCAGTTGTTTATAATTTCAGCCTTTACTCTAATTTCTCATTTCTCTTTTCTCATCAGAATGCCGATCACTTAGGTGGTTTTTAAACTGGGGTTTTTGGAGTGTAAGATAGTGTGTCTGACCTCCGCTTGCTTGCTGTGTTAGTTCCTGTCATTTCCGTCTTTGCATTTTTGCTGCCAGCATTTGAATTTGTTATGATGATTGAGTTACTGAACCAGCTTAAATTAAAAGTAAATTGTATAGTCTTTGAATACTAGTCCACATTTTAAGTTTGAATTTGACTCTTCTTGTTTAATTACATCACCACGAGCTGAAATTGATTTTGTTAGCATAAGAGCATGCCTTTATGTTCAAAGTCCTTTTTAAATAAGGAACTTAATGAAACCTTTGACTTTGTAGTTGCTTTCAGACATAGTGATAATTTGTTTCATGTCTGTCGGGGAAGGGGGTTGGAATATTTAATTTTTACCAGATCAAGTCAACCCTCATAGGTACATTGTGGAGAGGTTGACAAGTTATTAGATAAAGCATGCAGAAACTAGTGAGAACATTGGTTTGCACATTGAGACAAATTTGCAATTGTTAGAAAAAATGCTTAAAGAGAAGAAAATCGATATAAATTAGCCAAAATGTCTGGCAAGGCTTCAAATTAAAAAGACGCATAAATGTTTTGTTGAGTCTTGTTATGTTTTGTAGCTTTTAATGTGTAATTTTCCTAATATCATTTAAAAATCAATGTCATAAATTACATGTATTTTAAACTGTGCAATTTTATTATATTAGGATTTTAATAAGGCTTTTTTTAACATATTGTTATAAAATAAATAAAATTTAATAGTGGCCATGTAAATCCATAATGACTAAGGTTATCTAACTACCTAATTTAATTATTTATAACTAACTGCATACCCTTAAAAATTATCTCTGCATATTAAAGTGAGTTATTGCCTGTCATTAATCCTTACAATGGTCACAAAATAAAACACAAAAATGTAAAAATTAATGTAAAACTTATTCTTTGCATCTAGTAAAACTTAAAATAATACAAAACAACTTGTCACCTCTCTTAGTGACTTATTGGAATCTTAAAGTATATTAACTGGGATACAACTCATTGAACTTACATAAAGTTATGACACTAACTGCATTAGACAGAACCTAACTTTCAGAACTTCCCTAATGTGCCTACATCAGGCCTTTCAGGTTTGTTTTGATTAGCAGGTCTCTCTCCAGGCAAACAGCAGCTGTGACAACAGCCAGTCTTTTGTTATGAATCATGCTATTATGATTTTACTTCTCATATTAACCTATGCCACTTAACATAAAAATATACCTGCTGTTTACTAAACCTCTAGATTGAGACATTAAGAAAAATCAATGTAAAGCAACAAAGAACAAATATTGTTATAAAATAAATAAACTGTTAGCAAAACATAAATAAAATGTCACTTATCTTCTTTCAGATATGTCCAATTATTTTAAGTGTAAAGTATTTAATGCTGCTTGATAAATTTCATAAAGTTTATTTTGTTCTCAAATTTATTAATAATTATGTTAATTAAATTATGTTTAAAAATAATGCATCCTGCTAATAGATCTATTTATTTTTAGGATGGTATTACAAAAGTAGAGTTCAGGCATAGATAATATTTTTAATTGAATTTATTCAATTCTCATTTGCTCATAGGGCCTTAATTTTTTCATTAATGGTCCTTAAAAGTACTTAATTTTCATGTGCAGAAATGTTTATGAACCCTGAAATAGAAATTATTCAAATCCATGTCTTCATATCCTGGAATAAGATTTATATCACATTTTAAATTAATTAGTTACATTTATAGATTTTCTGGTGTGTTATTCACGTTTGTTTTTAATGGCAATGGAAATTATGCAAACTCGGACTTCAAGTAACGAAAATGTTGAAATTTTTGTAGCAAATACAAATTGAAATGTAATCGTGGGCTACATAAAATTGTTTCAGTGGCCCATGTAGCCTGTAGGCTGCCAGTTTGAGAGCATTGTCTTACTGTATGTAATTTATCAATTAAACTGTATCTATTAATATGTGTATGTAAATATCCTATATAATATCCAGTATCACTTTCTTACATCCATACTTTAGTCATTGAATTATATGTATAAAATAGAGGGGACATTATATAAACATTTTCATCAAGAATATGTTTTAGTCTAGCAAATGCAGTTAAAAATTAAATAATCCAGAAATAGAAAAGAAGTGAGCAGTTATTAGTGGTTTATAGTTTAAAAGTGTGAAAAACAGTTAGCAATTGTATTAAGTTATGATATTAAAGTATTTTATTAATTATTTTCATAAATAAAAGAAAATCATTGCAATTATTATAATTTTGTTTCATTTCTGTTTTGGAATTGAACACTATTATAGAAGTTTTGTACCATTTCAGTTTTGGAATCAAATATGTTATGGAAGGGAAATTTTTCTTTCAATAGCTGGTGAAAATTAAATATACTATGTCATGAAAATAATTGTTTCTAAGTTAGAAAAATGAAGGAAATAACATTAATATTTGTTATAACAGGATACATTAAGCACCTTAAAAAAAACCTCCTTCCTTTTTCTCTTAGAGGGCAGAATGCTTTTCAGGAAGGTAGTAAATTCTGCTGTAATGAAAGCTTTACTTCTGTTGATTTGTGTTTGACATCTGCATTTAAAGAATATGAAGCATATTTGTTTCAATTATGTATTTATAATATTAGCAATGATTTTTTTTTATTTGTAAGTCTTTTCATTTGGTATGCAATGCTACTCTCTCCTTCTTAATTTTGCTTATTGATTACTTTTTTTGTTTACGTAGAAATGTTGTCTGTGTTAATATATATATGTGTTTCAATTATAAGCCTTTCTGATTTTCTGTTTCTATTTTGCATATTGTTGATATTCTGTTTCATATTGCAGATGGCCATCTTTTCAAATTCCTTTGAAAAAGCAGTGGCATAGACGGCAGGCTTTTATGGATAATTTTGCATCAAGTGATGATAAAGGAAATCCATTTCTTGCTGCTCTTGAAAATTCCAAAAATGATTCATTTTCAAGCTGTTTGAAAGATTTGGAGAAAACATCTACGGAAACTTTTAACAAGTCAAATGATTTTCTCATACAACCTTTTCCATCTTCAAACATGGGTTTTTTTCGTCCAAAACCAAAGGGGCTCGTTGACGGGCTGTCTCGGTTCTTTACTCCAACAAATAAAAGAAAGTCACGTGTAGCTATTTCATCTCTCGGTGATTCTTTAACTCTTGATGATGAAATGCAAGTAACTCATGCAGCTGTTAACAGCTTCTCAGGGAAGCAGCTCTGTGATCAAACTACAGTTAATAAAAAAGTCTCTAACTGTGACTTTTTTGTAGAAAATTCGCATAAAACAAATAGTGACTCATTTGTGTTACCCATTGGAAACCATAGCACCCCGTCCAATGCTCAGACATCATTAAATGTAAGTTCACCCTCAACTTCGTCATTAGACTTTCTTCAGACAGGAAAGCAGAGTGGTAGTGGACAGTTGAAAAACTTGTTTGATGGACTGTCTCACCTATATACAGCTTCTGCTGACTCTCGAAAAAGAGGTTTGAAAGGCTCTGTAAATACTCCCACATCTCCTAAGCGATTACGTAGAAATTATGCTTGTACAGATAAAGATTTTAATACATCAGTGTTTTGTGATAGAGATAGTACCGGTGACATAGGTAGTAGAGATAAATTTTCAGAAATGGACGAAGAAAAACAAAACTCTCTTGATTCAGATGCTGAAACATCTGTCTCTTTTATGTCTAGCTCTGTGAGCGATAAAATGGAAGAAATATATAAAATTAAAGAAGCAGGTACATCATTTGCTCATAGTGATAATATGCTAAGCTCTCATCAACATCATTTATCAGTGCCTGAAAACAAACTTTTTGGGTTATCTGCAAAAGTCCAAGAAGGTGCTGACCCAGATATAAAAAGTGATGTCTCTAAGACAGCACTTCAAGGTATGTTATTAGATTGCATCAGAAATGTTTTGTTAATATATTGTTATGCAAAATTTTTATTGGTATGGTTATGGAAGTTGTGTTTTAATGCAATCAGCTGTTTGTTTATTGCAAATGAATAAATAGTCATTAAAAAAGTATCTGATTATTGACAATGTGAATTTTTTTATTATTAGAAAATGTTATTTTGTATAGTATTTAAAATGTTATCTTGTGAGTAATGAACAAAAAATTATAAATCGAACCATAAAATCTACTTTTGTCAGTGGTGAGGAGTGAGCCAGAATTTTCATTATAGAGCTTTTAGACTCACTATTTATTATTATGTTTTAATTGGTAATTAATGCAACAGTTAAATCTGTTAAGAATGGATTGTGCGGTATCTGGACAAGAAGTTAACTTTTAAATAATGCATAATTTTATTTTTCTCTTTATTGAGAAGATTTCAAATGAAAAGAAGCAGTTTGTTTTGTACTTCTTATTAAATTATTCCAAACAGATTAGGCAAAAAATAAGTTTAACTAATATATTATGGCTTTATTCTCAAGGCAAAAATAATCTTTTGAATATGTATGTTATTATAGAAACAAAATATTGTAAGAAGTACAGTTTACTTGTATCTCAGTCAGAATTTTTTTTTTTTTTTTCTTTACGTATAAATGTTTAATGTATTATATCATAAAAATATCAAGGTAAGGTGTTTGAAAATATAAAAATTTATTTTCACTTCTAGCATTGTTATGGAAATGCATTTACACTTTTATGTTTTAGGTCAGGTGCATTACTTTTGAGATTTTATCACTTAAGTGATCATAATACCATTTTCTGAGTAGTTTTCTTAAACAAAAGAAAATATGATTGTACTAATTATTAATAGTGGATAAAAGATGTAATTACTATAGAAGCTGCCCCCCCTTTTTTTTTTCTTATTGTTTATGCCACTGTAGTTCTAATATTGTTATGGCACAGATACAAGAATTTACAACTGATACCTAATTTACATTAATTTAGGGATTAATTTTCCTGTAAAAGTAAAATGTAGTTAATTATTTATTTATCAGAACTATTCATGAAATGGTGTTCTTGAAAGGAAAAAATTATAAATTAATAGTGAAATAAAAGAACAGCTTGAGAATGAATATAAATATTATGATGTATGCAAGACTTAAGTGATCAAAGCAGGCTAAAAGAGCTTTTGATATTTTGAATTTTTTTAGTGGCTGAGCAGAAATGAGGTATGAGATGCTTATACTATTACAATGGTTTATTTGGAAACACTAGTAGTAGCATTTGAAAGAAAAATAGGTTTCTGCATCTATGACATGGTTGCTATTATTTTGTGCAGTTACCTTCTGTTACTTTGAAGCTTGCGGATTCCTTCATCATAGAAAATGTAGTTTATTGTATTTTATATGTTTGTTTGTTGGTGCATAAAAAGTTTTGAGGAAGTTTTTGACAGCTTTTCTGGAATTTGGCTTTTTGCTGTTTAAACTGTTATCCAGAAACTGGAACAGATGGAAATATTAAGATCAAATCCTGGGGAATATAATGGTACTATGGATTTTTCATTTTAAGTGCATCAATTTTTTTCACTGGATCACTTGGGCAACAAGCAATCTAGCATTAATAAGGTGTATGAAGTGCTTTACAAGTGGACCAAAGGTGGTTGTTTTGGGAACAATTTTTTTCTCTGTAGTTATTCAGCGAGATAGGAAAAACTCAAAAAATGTTATTTCTATGCAGTCTAACCAAATATACACCAACTGTATAAAATACTACATTTTTTAAATACTAAATAAACCTCACATGTAATTACCATATATGTAAGTGCATAACTAATAATCATGCTAGCTACATCTAGCGAATTTAGTTTAGGTTTGCATCTACTGATATGCCTGAAAACAAATAGGGGTGCTTTTCCGTTTTGCCGGCGCAAGCGATAAAGTCGCCAATAATGGTACAACCGATGCCAAACAGAATATTCTCGCTGGGTAACCTTTTACGCCTCATTTTCAAAACAAGTCGCAGCTTTTTCTTATCAGATTGTTTCTTTCAATACTGTCATATAATTACATAGAATTTTTATCAGATAGTTCAGTTTTATGTCTAAGGCCATTTTCAGTCATTAAGTCAATTAGGATGCAGTCACAGCGCTTACCCGAAGCCGAAAGTATAGAAAAGGTAAAGTCAAGGGTTAAATTTATCAATTCTAATGAGAATGCATTAGCGAAGTAAAGCACTGCAGTTTTACATAATTTCTGAGTAAGCTATTCGTACGAATTGAAATATTTCTTGCATTTAAACTTGAGTTCCAAATTAAGATTTAACTTAAAAGTAATGTAGATAATTACTGAGAGCATTAGATTTTTGTAGAGTAGTTTATGTAAGATGAGATCGCTTCGGGTCACGTGATAGGAACCGGCGAATCAGGATGTTGAACCATGAAAGCATAGTAAATTCTTAAATTAATGTCTTTTTACAAATTTATTGTCTTTATTTATTGGCTTTTTATAAAATTTTAAGCGATATTAAAATGTTTATGCCTTCAAAAAAAAAAAAAAAAAAAAAAAAAGAGAGAATTCTTAGAAGTAAAATTCTTTTATATTTTTTATGTCTATACTGTATGTTGTCGCCAATAAAGTCTGCTTGGCGAGATTTGCGCCAGCGAAACGAAAAAGTACCCAAACAGGAAGTAATGCATCATTAATTTTTCTTTCTATACTGTAGTAAAATATTATATGTAATTAGGAGCTTGCCCAGCTTGCTTTTGATTCTAATCAGAATTAAATAAATTCTAGTTAGAACCATACTCTCATCAAATACTCACCTACATTTTTATCTTAAAATCTAAGAAAAGTCTTGTATTTGAAGGAGAGTCTTTGCAGATAAGTATGGTATATTAAATTCAAGTTTAGCGACTGTCATATTTGAAAACATTTATATTTTTCATCATTCCAAATGTATTACCTAAACTGTGTTATAACGTGTGAAGTCTAAATGCATTTATTTATATATTTGAACTACTTGCATTATGTACCAAAAAGAGAACTTGTACAGTTATTAGCAGTATTGAATCTGAAGTTGTTTAGTTTTTAGCAACTTTCTTTTGAATTACGAGAGCATGTGACGAAAATCTGCAATTCGGCAACAAAACTTTCCTAAAATGATGTTGCTAATGTTCCACTAGCAATAAATAATTAAGAATCCATCTTTAAATTCCACCAGCAATAAATGATAAATTAAGCTCTGAAATTTTATAAATATTATGAGCTAAATATTAGTACAAGAAAGCATCTTTTAAATCCTTTTTTACCTTTTAAATATCATATCTGAAAACTACAAATGAAATTTGAAGATTTTATTTTGTATTATCATTTGAGATGTATTTTGACAGTTTCTACGTTTTTAATATAGACTGTAATAGGTTACTAAAGAAATTCATTCTGCATTTTAAACCACGTATTTAAAGATTTTGTAAAGCAAGACAGGAAATAAACAGTATTTTTTTTAATTCATTATTCATGGTATCTGGAAAAAATAGTTAAAATATTTTGATAAATAAACCTTATTTTTGGAATTTAGGTAAGTTATTGTAAAGAATTGTGTAAACTTGTTGATCTATTCATTATTTATGGTAACTGGAAAAGTAATTAAAATATATTGATATATAGACCTCTCACCAAATTTTTGGAATTTAGGTAAGTTATTGTAAAGAATTGTGTAAACTTGTTGATCTAACATATTAAGCTGTGCCTAATATTAATATGCATTTTTCCTATATCTCTTTTCTTTTAATGACTTTTGGTCACTTATAAACCTACAATGAAGCTATTCAGAGAAGAATCGTTTCAGAACAAACAAAACATTCTTTAAACTTCATATAAAACAAAAGAAAAAAAGAAAGGTGGTTAACAGTTGATGTGTGAGCCACAGCAAAGCCAGTACTACACTTTTTTGGAACAATAACAATATGGCCAACTGTCTTGCTACACTCCTTCAACCTTGTTGTGTAAAGTAATTTGCTTGTTTATTTTTCTGCATGATTTATAGAATCTTATAATCGCTCAAGCAACAAAATGCAGTTATGGAACTTGATGAAATGATCAAAAATATGCCTAGGTAACTTTATTGAAGGGGTAAAATAAAATATTGGGAAAAAATTGCTATTCCAGTTATTTATTCATTTAAACAATATAACAAAAATGGTCAACTATATATACATGTATATCTGTCTACTGGAAATATTTTCCATGTTGTGAAAATTTTAGTCCAGATCTAGAAGTAATCAAATTTATTCAGAAATTCATAATACAATACAAAGTTCGAGATCCGGACTCGTCGGGACTTCGACGGTTCTGAATATGGGATTTTTCCAGGTGTTAGATCATCAGTTTGAATCTAGTAACATGGCATGTAGAAATTATAAAAATATGAAATAATGATCTAAAGGTTATCAAAATTTACAAAAAAAAAAAAAAAAAAAAAAAAAGAAAAAAGGTAGAAAAAGAAAAGAAAGAAAGGCTTAGTGTTTATTTGTTTACTTTATTGAACATTTCTTTCATTATAAGTTGTTTAATTTGCTTCGTTCTTTTGTGCTAATACTCTCTCTTGAATTTTATAGACAGATATAATATCTTGTTCAGTTACAAAGTTCCATTGTTATAGTCCTGTAATTGCTGTGTCGAGAATTCCAACTAACTGTCAATGGAAATTTTTTTGTTTTCAATAACCTCTCTGTCACTTTCTTCACTATTGGTAGTGGTATTTTCTAAATCTAGAAGCATACTACTGATTTCATTGTCTGTTAATTGATTGATGATTGGGGCATTCTCATCACAATGAAAAGCTTCTGTTATATCATCTTCATTTATTACCACTCCTTGACATTTCTTTTACAAAATCCATTAATTGGAAAATTTCACCTTTGGTTTGCGATATCCAAAAATTTTTAGATTCACATATGTCATCTTCACAGCCTCGCCAGAAAATATGGTAGCTGG